TTTTGCTCTTTGTAATTTCTTTCTTTCTCCTTTATTTTGAGTTTAATTTGCTGTTTTTTTAAAACATCATTGTAAAAACGCTCAGATCATTGACTTTCAACATTTTCAGCATATGCATTTATGACATACATTTTTCTCTAAGTAAACTTTAATTATAATCTTCAAATTTTAATATGTATTTGTATTATCATTCAATTCAAAACAGTTTTGTAATTATCATTGTAATATTTTTATATGGTCCAAACTATTGCCAAACAAATCAATTTTCTCTTAATATATTTCTGTTAATTTTTTCCCCTTTCTTAATACCACTAAGTTCTAGATGTATAGTGTATGATTTCAGTCCATTTTAATTTGTGGAGATTTGTTTTATGACCCAATCTAAGGTCCATTTTGTAAATATCCCTTGTATAATTGAAAAGAAAAATGTGGTTTTGTGCACTGCTCAAAACTGCTTTGATTTGTCCTTTAGGTAAGGTTTGTTAATTTTGCTTTCTAATTTTTTTCTATTTGTACTATTCATTGTTGAGGGAGATTCATTTTTATTTTCCTTGTTTTTAAATATACCCTGGCAATCTTGTTTTATTTGTAGCATTTGTCCACTTACATTCAACGTAATTACTGGTATATTTGGATTTAAATCTCTTAGTAGTTGCTTTCTAAAAAATGAGTGTTGATAAGTAAAAGAGAATTTTTGTAAAAAGATGGAAAGTATATGGGAAAAATCAAAGAACTCTTCTTAGTGGAAGTAACCAAAATACATTGTTATTTACAACATTGACTGCTCTTGCAAGAAATTGTATTATGTTAGCCAGGGTTCCCACTTACTCCCCAAAACATGACAGATTTGTGGGCTCAGGTTGGAATAGACTTGGGAGAGGTGAATTTCTCTGTAAAATGAATGAGAAGAGTAAAAAATATTAGAGGAAGGATGGGGACCTGAGAAAGAGAGGGCCCAGAAATGTGGGGAACTGCATGGCTGAAGAGGGGAGAGTTGAGGCCCTCAATGGCAGAGTGGTCAAAAAGAGATTTGGGGGAAAAAATTACTAAGAGAGGCTTTTTAATTTGTTTGCACTGGAGTGTGATGTGCATTTCTTTTCCTCTATGTTATCCCTACGGTATTGGTTTTTGCTAATATTTGTGAAAGACATCAATTAGGTAAGGGAACTCTAGGCCCAACACCTAGCAGAGATCAGCTTTATTTTGGTTTTGTACTCTTCTCACTTTTCTACATTAATTATGTAAACACAGAGAGACAACCAAGATGGAAACTGCTAGAAAATTGAATATCATTCTTCTCAGGGGATATGTTGGGCAAGGCAGGGGTTAGTATGGATAGAAGCTCTCAGACCATCTATCTAAGTATGGTTTAGGGCTCCAGAGTAAAATTCCAAACATAGTGATTCAGTGGTCATGATTTATTACAAGAGTTCAGGATACCTTCAGAATGAGAGTCTCTTATCGATGTTAATCAGTCAGTCTCCCATCTCAGGTGTCATTAGAGGCAAAACTTGACTTGGCCTTTGGACAAGTGGTTTAATTTTTCTGTCTTTGATTCCTTATTGAGAGAAACAAAACCAAAAACTGGACTCCATCCCACACAGAATTGTTGTGAGTTTTGCATAGAATAATGTATGTAAAATCCCCTTTGTAAATGATAAAGAAACACACACACACACACACACACACACACTCCTTACTATTATGGTAATTGACTATTTGACCTTGTATACTAAAGATTGGGGCTATCAAAGCCTAATCTTCCAAGAGTCTTCCTCAAAGGCCAATGCCACTCTGCCTCATATAAGATGCCCCTGAACTTGAACACTTGTAATAAATTCTCTTGGTTTCCAAGCTTAGAAAGCATGTCATAAAAGAACTGAGATGGCACAGGAATGGTTTCCTCTTCTGAAAAAGTGATGAATTTATTTACATTCTTTCCTGTATCCTTCTTCCTGACATGATGTATGAGGTTCCAGAAGCCCAGTACAGCTTGGGTGGGCATTGAGTAGGAGAATCCATAGGGAAAGGAATGTGAAGAAAGCCCTAGGGTGAGGATAAAGGGATTTGGTGAAGTCAGGGATATGGGGAATTATGAATCCTGCTAGGATTACCAGGTCCTGCTGTCCCTGTTCTGCTCCTGGCTGGAGCTTGTATCTTCTGTCTCCTGCAGTCACTTGAGCAAGCTCTCTCTTAAGGGCAGCTGTCAGCAATTCTTGTGGCAAGACCTCTGGTGTAGCAATGGCGGAAGTTGAGCTGCTGTGTGGGGAACTTCTGGAGGACGTGTCTTCCTCTTTGTCCTCTTTGACTTCCACAACTCTTTGGTTTCGTCCTTCTCTATCTCTGGTATCCACTTTCTCAGCAAATCCTCCATAGGTCCAATTACTAACCACTCACTATCTCCCTTCTTCTCATTTTGTCGTAACTTCACGTTGGGCCCTGCTCACTCAGAGCTCCTTTTACTCACATTATTGGCCTTCTTTCTACCACCGGAGGCCACTCTGATACTGGCCAGTACATTTTAACTGATTAGTTTCCCCGTGCCCCAGCAATGGTCTTATATCCTCTGCCTTCAGAGTCTTCTTGGACAGTGAGTTCTGTTAACCCTTCATACGTTCTTTGTTCACCTTCATAATTGACTTTCTGATCTTTGCAACCATGGTCCTCTCTGCTACTAATCTTAGCTTCCCTCATCTTCCCTCTGGCTTACTCTCACCACTTTGTTTCTCTGTGACACTTGAAGTCTTTCTGTGACTAGATTTCATGTTCTTATTGGACCATTTTCTCCCTCTACCACTTGCTGCTTTTGTTCTTTCTCTGAAGCACATACAGATACAGGATCCTGTTCCCCAAACAGACCTCACTTTGTCTCTGGACTCTACCTCCTCGCTTGACCACACTTTCTCTCAGGATATTATCTTCTCACCACACTTAGTCCTCTCCATTGATCGCACTGCTTCATTTGCCTTTTATCTACTACCACAAATCTCTCTATCCCACCATCCTCAGACTTCATTTTATCTCTGACTCAAACTGACTCTGACTCAAATAAGGTGTGACAATTTGATGAACACTGTTCTAGAGAGTTTATTTTCAGATAACTCCTGTTGATTGATCTCTGATTTCTGAACAATCCTGTAGTTGCTTATTTCAGCTATCTCCTGCTGGCTGGTGTCTGCCAAGGAATTGTTCTATCCCTCTTGCTTGAACTATGAAGTCAAGTGAGAGCTTTGTCTCTTCATCAATCAGAGGCCTCTCCCTGGGAAGACTTTACTGGTAGGTGTGTAGATGCTTGTAGCTTTTATCTCCTCAGGACAGAAGTCCAGGTACTCCTGGATACATGTGTCAAAAAACAGTGGATTTCCAAATTTGAGAGGAGAAAGAAAATAAGGAGAGATATTTCCAAAATATCTGAGGCAAGGCTACCAAATGAATTCTTCTGAGGCCACCCTAGAATCACTTCCTAGACTCCAGCCTAGAATCACATGAACAGGAAACAATAACCCCCATGCCCTTCTGTGAACTTAACTCAAACCAGAGTTTCTGCACAGCCATCAGAAGTGTCTGAATCCCAACGCCTTTGTAGACCATTTGCAGCATAAATGAATGTGTTAGGTAGTCTTGTGTCTATCTCCTCTGCATAGCAAGTCCTTGGTTATTTTTGTCCCCTGAAGTATCTTTGTGTTTTCAAGTAGTTAGTTGAAAAATCAATCTAATAAATATTCATATATTTTTGTAAACACCACTGTGACCATAAAATAAAACAGTTATTTTGTTTTTACTGGGATGTAGTGCCAACATGCCGCAACATAAATGCTTTACTCATCAGTTTGTATACAATTTCACACTCAGCATATATAAGGTGGTTTGTCATGTAATGATATGATGCACAAAAAAACTTGTAAGGATATAATCACCATTAAGAGATGAGCATAAACATCACAAAAAAATGTTTGTCTCTGAAGCACTTACCCCTTCACATAAACTCCTTTGGTATTTATGGGATTCTCATTCGATATCAATCATTCAAGCAGACAAATACTTCGGTTTTCCCTTGGCACTCACTCAATGACCTCCATTTGTGTCAGTCTCTGGTTCTTTTGCATCTTATCTCCCCAGCCACATATCAGTATCCTACTTCTGCAATCTCTTACATAAAACTTAATACAGTAAATCATTTCTGAGTATTTATTATGTGGTAGGCATTTAAAAGACACTAGAAATATAAAAACAGATATTGGACCCTTATGGGATTTACAGTCAAATGAGGGTGGAGGACATTAATCAAATATTTACTCAAAGACCGGTATATGTAAGACCAAAAATGTGATAATTGCTGGGCAGGGGAATATAATGTTGAGATATTTGACCTCATCATGGAGCTCAAGGAAACATTCTTAGAAACTGAGCTTAGATATAGAGAATGGCAGTTAACTTGATGGAGAAGAGAGGAAAGAGAATTCTAGGTCTAGGGAACAACTTCTGCTAAGTCAATGTGGTGAAATACAGTATGAGTTTCTAAAATTAGTCTAATGTGATTGTTATGCTGCGAGTTTGGGTAAGTTCGGTGTAGGAAGAGACTGAATAAGCAAGCAACGGTTAGACCAGCTGTCACGGCCTGATTTCTAGGCCATGTAATGGAGTTCCATATTATTCTAAGGAAGATACTGAAGTGTTTTTAAAAAGGAGGGTTGTATTGTCAATATACATTTTTAAGATATCACTCAGTTTTCATGGCAGAAAATGATAGACACGGAGTAAGAGTGAAGACCTTGTTATTGTAATTATTTAATATTTTATTACTTTGTATTAATATCATTAAAGTGGTGATGGAGAGAAGAGGGCAAATTTGAAAGATATTTAGTAAAAAAGATAATAAGAGTTGATGATATGAGAAGGAGAGGAGAGCAGCCTAGAGGGGTGTGAGAGAGGGTGATGACAAGATGACAGCTGGTTTATAGACTGCATAATTTTCTTACATGGCATGCTATTTATTGAGATGTGGAGTACTGGAAGATGGTTTCTTTTGTGAGGAAAGTTAATGAATTATTTTTATATATTGTGTTTGAAGTACCTTTGAGATTTTAGATTTGATGTGTTAAATAGGCAGTACAGTATGTGGATCTGCTGCTCTGGGCTAGAAATATAAATTTGATATGTATTGTTTTGCATGTGGTAATGGAAACTTGGAGAAGGTAAGACATTAGCTAAGAATATTGTAGAGGAAAGGTATAAAGAAGATAAAGACTGAAGTTCCAAAAATACAGGCATAATGAGACTGATGATTGAATAATTGCCTTGATAATTCACGTGAAAAAATATATTCATCATATCTACTCATTTATATAACATTTTCTTTTCTCTGGCACCTTTCCCATATCTCTGAGAAATAGTACTATACTCACACCAATCATAAATGAACACACACACACTCACACACACATGCACACACACAGCCCTCTAGGAAACACACAACCCTCTGGACTTTCCTATGGTGTGAGTTCAACCTTCACCTGGTGTCTTTCAGTCAGAAAAATGGAGACTGATGTTTTGCAGAGTGGGTTACAGTTGGCAAATCCACTGATTATTGTCTTTACAATTTTGTTCAGCTGTCCTACTAAGAGACACATGGGCACATTTCATGCTCCGGGTCTGAGGTTGTTTTTCTTTTATTGAAAACCTATGGAAAGAAAGCATATGGTTATCTTTACATCAGCCATGAAAATATGCATATGTCCAGAGACTAAGGAAGACCTCAGTAAATATTTCCTAATTTTTAAATGAAAATATGATTATTAAAACAATTTAAACGATACACAACAATATAATGGGTAAAGTCATTCTTCCCACCCTCAGTTTTATTTCTCAAAACTTCTCTACAGATAGGTTAATATTTAATAAGTATTAGTTAGAGGTGTATATGAATAATGCTAAAATATCACCTCTTACTTTTTTCATTTAAAAATTGATCACTGTAAGAAATGAGCAGAAATTCATATTTTGTGAAGTAAACATGCTCTCATAAGATATTTTACACTTGCCAATTTAACTCTTAGATAAAATAAAAAGGCAGCAGTGACAAATCCTGTTTCATACAAAAATCTTCTGAGTGGATAGAGTGAGATTTCTTTTGTTTCTCAATTTTATGTGTGAAACATTTTATCTGAATATTTACCAGATTACAAGAGTCAGTCAGGAAATTTATACCTGTTCACTCAGTTCAAGCCCAACAACATCAGACAGCTCTTTCCTGTCACATAACATGGGATTAAAACCACAAAAAAAGCTAAAATACAATAAACTTACAGACTGGGATCAAAAGAGCTGTTGTCCACCCAGGTCCATGAGCGGCCTCCAGGGGGAATGCTCAAGCCAATCCAATAAAAGGCTGAAGTATTTAGGTACAACCATAGGAAACTCTAAAGGAAATAGGAAATGGTACATGAAACTGACTAACTCTTACAGATACAAGAAAAGCATCTCTAGAGCACTTTCTATGTGTTGGCACTGCGCTGGAAGCTGGGAATGAACAGGTAAGACATACCTCATGCTTTCTAATAAATCTTAGTGGAGGGACAAACTACTGCATTGCAGCGTGGAGACTGCCAAGGTAGAATTGCTTACAGTAGTAGACACTCAGGGCTGTGGAGTCAGACTGCCTAATTTGAGTCCTAGCTCTACAGTTTACTACTGTCCATCATTGTACAGTTATTAAATCTTTTTACTTCTGTTTTTCCCAATCTCTAAAACTCAGATTATAATAGTACCTGTATCAAACAGCTATTATTGTTTTGTTGTTAAATAATATAATTAAACACTGCCTGGCACATAATAAATGATCATTACATACATGTTAGTGATTATTATTAAATACAAGTATGAAATAATATATAGAAGCAATAAGAAAGAAATATCTGAGCCGGTGTGGCACATATTGTTCAGAGTTTCCTGATATCTCTTTTTCTACAGTAATGTAACCCCTGAGCCAAAGTATATGGCCAGCCATAATAAAGGCTACATTTCCCAGCCTCCCTTTGGCTAGATGTGACCATGTGGCTGACCTGATTTCTGACTAATGGAATAGAATGGAAGTGATACTAAAATCCTAATCAAGCATTTAAAGGGTAATGAATCCTTCCATTCATCATTTCCTTCTTTCCCGATGGCTGGAATGTGGACATGATAGTGAACCAACCAGAAATAGGTTGACACAGACAGCACCCTACCAGTGAGAGTAGAAATCCCATAGCAGCATGGACTACTATGTTCGTGACATAATCTATTGCATATACTCTAAGACAGATTTTTTCCCTATTTTAACACTTTGAAATTGGAAACATCTAATAATCTATGGCGTGTGGTAGTTTAATTGGCAGCTTTGTTTTTGCTTTTTAATTGTGCTAACGCTTTTAAGTGTACTAATGTTACATCTTTAATCTTATATTCCATAAACACCTATCTTGTTCAAGCTACAGTAATTTTGGTTCTCTGTCACATGCAGCTGGATTCATAGCTAAACCATATAGCTGTTTGTTGGAAAATAGTCACTAGGCATACAAGAGAGAGAATAGTGTGTTTCCATTGAATTATCCTTGCACTATGATCAAAAGTCAGTTGATTATATTTGTGTGGGTCTATCTCCAGCCTCTATTCAGTTTTGTTAATCTATATATCTCTCCTTTGCTAATACTATGCCACATTAATTAATGTAGCTTTACAGCAAGACTTAAAGTTGAGTAGTGTGAGTCTTCCATTCTTCTGTTTGCCTTGGGTTTAATTTGCTCTTTTCCTAGGTTTTTTTTTTTTAAGTAGAAGCTTAGATTATTGATTCTCTGTTATCTTCTTTTCAAATATAAGCATTCAACACTATACATTTCTCTCTAAACTCTGCTTAAGCTGAAATCTGCAAATTTTAACGTTATATTGTTATTGTCATTCAACTTATAATATTTTAAAATTTTATCTCTACTTCCTCTTTGATCCATACATTATTTACAAGTGTGTTTAATTTTCAAATATTTGGGCATTTTCCAAAAATCTTTCTGTTCCTAATTTCCAGTTTAATTTTACTATGGTCTGAGACATACTTTGTATGCTATCTGTATCTGTAAAACTTAAAATTTTTTTAGGTCCCAAAACATGGTCTGTCTTCATGAAAGTTCCATGTGCACTTGAAAAGAATGCGTATTCTGCTGTTGTTAGAGTTTTCTATAAGATCAATTAGGTCTAATTGGTTGATAGTATTGTTCGAGTCTTCTATATCTTTATTTGTTTATTTATTTTTTTTTTGTCTAGTTGTTTTCACTTACTCGGAAAGAAGTGTTGACGTCCACAACTATAATTGTGGATTTGTACGTTTCCCCTTTCAGTTCTATCCGTTTGCTTTGTTGCATACACATACATAATTGACCCTTGTTATGGGCTTCAGGGGCCAGAGGGTGGAAGATTATGGGCTAAACTGTGTCTCTCCAAAATTCATATATTGAAGCCCTAACTCCTAGTACTTCAAAATGTGACTGTATTTGGAGACAGGGCCTTTCAAGAGGTGAGTAAGCTAAAACCTGGCTGTTAGGGTGGATCTTAATCCAATCTAATTGGTGTCTTTATAAGAAGAAGAAATTTGGACACACAGAGAGATACAGATGCACACACACACAGAGGAAAGACTGTGAAGACACAGCAAGAAGGTGGCCATTCACAAGCCAAGGAGATTGTCCTCATAAGAAACCAAACCTGCCAACCCCTTTTCTTGGACTTCTAGCCTTCAGAACTATGAGAAATAAGTTTCTTTTGCTTAAGCCATCAAGTCTGTGGTACTGTGTCATGGCACCCCTAGCAAACTCATACAACCCCTTTATCATTAATAATATTCCTCTTTGTTCTTGGGAGTGTCTTGTTCCTTCTTTTGATATACCGCATACTTGATTGTTGAAAATTGGATATCTTTACTAGGACAGTAGAGACTGAATAATTTTGTGCTTGGAAATGAACACACAGTTCCTTCTCCTAAGTCTTTAATTTGGGGTTTGAGATAATCATTAAGAGTTGAATTGGGTTTTTCATTTGTTTTTGCTATGGTTATCCTCAGTGCTCCACAGGTTTCAAATTCCTGTAATGATATCCAGTGTTTAGTGGTTTTTTTTCCCCCAGAGGAATATCTCCTTGACCTTAAGCATTTAAGTGTTCCCTTTGTACTGTGCCTCAGAGAGGATCTCTTTGCACATTCTTATTTCTCTCCTGTCCCTCTCCCAGAAGTATTCTTCTTGACTTATTTGAAACTTGTTAGCTTGGTTGTAAAAGGCAGTGGATGGAGTGGTCTTTCTTGTTCTGATTATGCCTCAGTCTTAGGCAGGCACTGAATCCCTGTGTCTTCAACGTGTGGCTTTCTCAGCTCTGCTGCTCCTATCTTGGATGTAGTTGTGGTCCCAGTGTGGATTCTTGCCTCTCCCACAGGGGTAATGTTTTTCCTGATCCTCTTTGTTACCCACAATGATGTTTCACCAGTTCTCTTGGACAGCGATGTTTGTTGCTCTTCTTTCCAACACACACATTAAGGCTTTTGTTCCATGGTGCAGATAGCAGATAGGCGAGAAGGGTCTCGGTGGAATTTCTTGCCAATTCTGTATTATTGTTGTTCCCTTCTCCCAGGTCTGCACCACAATGGACACTTTCTTATGGTTCTTTCCAATCTTTTCTTTGAGGGCCAGTGAGGTTTATAGAGAAGTAGCCTTCAAGAGATTGTAGAATTCCCCAATTTCTGCAGAACCTAGGAGCTTCACACTGTTCTGCCACCCTACACTCTGCCTTCACTCATTTTTCAATTATTCTGGCTGAACTCTTCCCCCTGATGTCTGATGTCTGATTTTTCTATCCTAAGTAAGTGAAGATGTGGCTCCTTTCTCCCACAGGTGCCTGATTCACCAGAGATTTTGGCTCCACAACCTCAACTCTCCAGTGGATTTGAAAAAAGTTGACAATTTAAAGTTAACTCAGCTATTTTTCATTGTAAAAGTGCTAGCAACATTTCTTTGAGATCTTTGTGTCATTCATGAAGTGACAGCCATAAACTTCCCTTGCTTTTTTTTTAAATATCTCTTTTTCTCTTCCTCCTGTTCTTACCCCTCCTCCTCCTCTTCCTTCTCCTCTTTCTCCTTTTTCGCCATGGGTATTCTAGATAGACTAATAATTTTTTTGTCATTTTTTTCTTTAACTTATTTGAGAGCTGGAGAACTATTTGCTAGAAAATTATTTTTTGTTTCTTGGAGTAATTATTCTTCCGTAATATATATTTTATCCGACTTTTACTTGTCCTTTTTTGAAGAGGTTTGGAAATAGAAATCCTTATGCATAAATCCTATGCCAATTCTTATTGGTCCTCGAAAGGGAACAATTATGTTTGGCCCATTCATTTGTTTAGGAGTCATTTAAAGAGGAGTAACTTAAACTAGAGGAAGAAAATTTCCATTAAAATATGTTGTCTCAGTCCACTGTTCTCTAAAATCTAGTTTATTGATTGCCCAAGAGACATATCTTTTCTGCATTTCAGCATTCTTTCCTTTGATGGTGAGCAGGAAATAGATGAAATTCTTAGTGAAGTCTTTCATTGCAGTTTCTCCATGCAATGATTTATTGTTTATTCTTTTGAAAGCATTCTTATTAAAAGCTTTTCAGTTGGCACTTGCTTCCTCTTTCTTGTCTTAAAATTGACCTCTAGGAGAAGAAAAAAAGGTCTCTTTTCGAGCCTTTTCCTGATGGCCTAGTGGTTAAAGTTTGGTGCTCTCTGCTTCAGCGGACCGGGTTCAGTTCCAGGGCATGGGACCATACCACTCGTCTGTCAGTAGCCATGCTGTGGCGGCAGCTCACATAGAAGAACCAGAAGAACTTACAGCTATACACAACTATGTACTGGGGCTTTGGGGGCAACAAATGGAAGGGAAAAAAAGGAGGAATATTGGCAACAGATGTTAGTTTAAGGTAAATCTTCCCTGGGGGAAAAAAAACACTGTTATCACCACAAAAAACAAAAAAGTAACTGTGTGAGGTGATAGATATGTTAACTAACCTTATTTAAAAAAAAAGTCTCTTTGTAGTTCTTAATCCATTCTGGATTTGGTTCATATTTGCACTGCATGTGACCGAGAGTCTTACCGTTTGACATTTGAGGTTACATTGGTTACACTGAAGATGATTTACTTCTCTTTTTGTTTTTCTTGTTGTGGATTTCTGTGAAACTCAGAAAGATTTTCTTTTCCCCTCAGAAGTTTCAACAGCTGCCCTGTTGTAAATCCCCCTGAAACGGCTATTGTTCAACCAGGATTATAAAGCACTGCTAGACATTGGCTTTTCAGCAATTGGGCTATTCACATAGCTTGTGATTCCAGCATCCTAATCCTCAGGCTGACAACTCTTTTTGATGTTGGCCAATTAATTAGAAGTTTGGTATCCAAACTTCATGTAGCAAAACTTTAATTTAAATTAAGCCAGAGTTAGTGAAATATCAGTTCTCCTCAAGGAAGAATGAAATCTTAATGAGAAGGACTCTTCTGTATTTCCTTTCTCCCAACATTATCTTTAATTTGAGCTGCCATGATATCTGACTGCAGCCTTTGTGAGCATTGCAATAAATGTGGGAGATGAGGTAAGATATTTAATGTCTTACATTTTAAAATGGAATCTGGTCAGCAGTGGGGAATCCCTTGTAGAGAGGAACTTAGATATGTAATACCAATTGAATTCCTCCTCTCCCTAGCCAAAAAGAAGCCTACAATAATCATGTAGTTCAATGATTCATTCAACTAATATTTGTGTAGTTAGGAACAGTGAGGTTTTAAAAAAATTTTTCACAGAAATTTTTAAGTTTGTAGCACAAAGAATGTATTGCAAATGTGAAGGATGCTATATCTTTATGTTTTATATCTCACCATATCAATGAAGTCTTGAATCACCATGAGATGTGAATTTTTCATGGCGCAGTCATTTTTACTTTCATTCCAAGATTTCTTATTTTCAGAAACCCAGTAACATTTTCCCTCATGTAGCTTCCAATCTTTGGAGGGGCATGATTTATGAGCAGTAGAAGAGTTAGAAGAAACTGGGAAGGAAAAGGATAAGTAATTATAAGAAATTCAAAACTGTACCCCTAAAGTTGTTTACTGATTAAAGCCCTTCAAAATTTGTTAATTGTGGTCGAAACTTTCTTTGACAAAAGTATGTGCTTTTCTCAGGGCAGATTTGAAAAAAATTAAGATTAACAGAATTGTAACCATGTGTATATTCATTCATTTTCTTCTTCCGTTCTTTCTTCATTTAATTTATTCTCTTAAAAATATATCATGTTTTCTATCAACTAGGCAATGCATCAGACACTAGGATAAAATAATGAACATCCAAGCATCAGGGAGATAGACATTTTAAAGGAAAAATAGAAATTAGAGATTTTAATTAGTGGTCTACCAATGAGCCACACATTTTGGGACTTATATATCATACTGGAGTAGTTTTCCTTGGGCAAAATTTGTGTAATAGGTGGCTCCCAAAACTCAGATAGATTGGTCCTCCCATACACAAAAGGATCTTAACATCCAAAAATATGATAGTAACAGGTCATTCTAATTTATAATATTTGCCATTAGATTTACATGATGACACAGAGGCATCCTAGATATACCAGCAATTTATTGTCCCCTCAAATAAATATTCTTTAAAAACACTCACATACATGCACACACACAATGACCTGAAGCCATTACAGAATCAACAAATGCAGGCAGACTTTGGAGGGGAGCTAGCACTTGAAATAAAGTATGGCAAGGTAAAAGTTTCCCATTTTTACAACTTTTAGCCTAAGACACCCTGTTGGTGCCTTGTAGAGCAAGGAAAATTTCGATAGACAATCTGCAGTTTTACTAGCCTGAAGAACCAGAGAACTGAGTTTGAGGCAACCACAGATGCTGAAAATGAAGAGTGAATCTCATCAAAGGGAAACATAAAGGGTGTGCACCAACTTCTGTGCATGAAATGTTTCCAAGTCCCTGGCTGATGTGTGTCAAAGCTAGATTACAGCTAAGGATAAAAAAACTAAACTGAGATTTGAGCTGCTGCCTAAAAGATAGAAATTTAAATTTGAGTCCAACTGTACCAAGTGCTTGCTAAAACAAGAAAATCAGCACTCTCTGAAGAAATATATCAGAATCCAAAGACTTCTCAACATAATCTTCACGATGTTCAGGGCACAGTTTTCAATCACCAGACATAAGAAAAACCAGGGAAATATGACCAATTTTTAAGAGAAAGGGAATTAATGCAGCCCAACAGGAAAATAATGCAGATGTTAAGATTATCAGACAAGTCTTTTAAAGTAGCCATTATAACCATGCTCAAGGATATGAAAGAAAATGTGCTTGCAATTACTGAAAAGATAGGATGCTTCAGCTAGGAAGTAGAGAGTATGAAAAAAGAACTGAATTAAATTTAGAATTGAGAAACACAATACAATATATAATAGAAAAAAAATTCATTGGATAGGCTATTCAGATAGGCTTTCATATTGAAATAGTCCAATATGAAACCCAGAAAAAAAAGTTGGAAAAAATGTACAGAGCCTCAAAGATTTGCAAGACAAAATAAAAATATCTAACACACATGTAATTGAAGTCTTAGAATCAGAGAAGAGAGAAGATAAGGCAAAAAAGAAACAAAAAAGAAAAACAAAAAGGATAATGGCTATTTCCCCAAATTGTTTAAATTCATAAATTTATACTTTCAGGAAGCTCAAAAAACCCTATGTAAGATAAATATAAAGAAAATAATATGTAAAAAAGAAATAGTTAAACAGCTTAAAACCAAAGATAGAAAAATCTTGAAAGCAGAGAAAGATTACTTGCAGAGAAACAATTATTCAAAAACCCTTCACTCTCGTCATGAACCATAGGGTCAGAATATAGTGGAAAATATCTGCAAATTATTGAAGGAAAAAAAATAACTGTCAACAAAATATTCTGTATGTAGTGAAAATATGATTCTAAAATCATGGCAAATTTAAGACACTTTCAGATAAAAGAAAACTAAAAGAATCCATTGCCAGCAGATAGTCACTACAACAAATGTTAGAAGAGATTCTTTAGGCTGATGGAAAATGTTTCTAAATGGAAACTTGATTATTTAAGGAAGAAGAACATCAGAAATGGTAAATATCTGGGTAAACATAATGGTATAAGGTAAACAACATATTTTCAAAAGATATTTGTTCTTGCTTTCAGTATTGAGTTCACACTCTTGCCTAGCGTGTTAAGTCCTTCCTTAGATGGATATAATATCTCTAATTCAAACTATTTCCAGGTAATAATTCCAAATACTTGCTATAACTATTGCTAAAGACACAGCAACAATGCAACTGGGACTTTTTAGAACATATTTAATAAAAACTGCTATATTTTCACTTCTATATCTCTGATAGCAGATACTTTGAAGCAGGGCTTCCCAACTATTATTATGTCGTGGAATACAAAAATATATTTCTAAAGTATAGAAAAATAAATAAATAATAGTCTATTTAGTCTACTAGTTAACCACCTGGGTCTTTTTAACTCAGGAACCTTCAGGCATACAAATATGTTAGGGCACACTATTGGGAAATCTCTTCTTTGAAGATGGTTTCACTCCAAGATAATTAGAACCTAAAAGAATCAGATAAAAAATATTGCTTAGCTTGTAAGAAATAAGGGGAAATTGCTAAAGGCAAGCATTTAGCTAGAAGTGGAATGGGGAAGTGATTGGGTAACTGAGTTCAAGAGGTAAGACTGCCTTCCAGGCTGATGATTTATAGCAGTGCTAGGATCCTAAGACCAAGCCTTGGATTCACTGACGAAGTGAGTCTGTGAGACTCTTTCATTACTCCAGGGTCTTCAAAAGATTCTCAAGTCACCCAAATCATTAACTCCCCACTGCCTCCTTGCAGATAAAAATGCAAATAATCTTTGCAAGAAAGCATCTTTAATGTTTCTCTTAGAAATCCCGTTGACTGAGATGAATCAAATTTTTAAAAAATCAAATATTTTAAAAAACAAGCCAACATATCAGCAGGAAATACAAGAAGTAGATTTGGTCACCGAGGACTTTAGATATTTAAATAATCATATTTATCATAAACCATAATGTTTAAATTGTTTTAAGAAATAAAAAATGATCATATAGCAGGAGACTATCAAAAGCTAACAGGTCGGTTTGAAAATAAGTCCTCAGGATTGAAAACTATAATCATTAAACTAGACTCAGTAAATGATCCAGCAGCTTAGAAAGGGGAAAATAGAGAATTTGTGAACAGCGAGACATATCTGAAAACATTGCTAAGAATTCAGCACAAAAATGATGACAACAATGAGGACAAAATGAGAGGTTACATGAAATAGAAGATAGAAAGCAAAGGCCTATTGCGTCTAATTTAAGTCCTAGACAGAAAATAGAGAAGGTAGACAAAGAATTAGGAATGATGGCTGAATAGATCTATTAAATTTTATTTTATATATTTTAAGTTTATTTAATTTTTTTATTAAGATCAAACAAACTTAGTGTTGGTATCCTTTCATGATGAATTGGAACTAAGACTCTAGGAGAGGTGACCTATACATCTGTAACAGCAGCATGAGGATTAGAAAACAAGTTTGACAGATTTTGAAACTAGAGCTTTATTTAATACCATTATTACCACTTGCATCATAGGTACAAGAAGTACAATAAAGTGCTTTTGCTTTGTGAATAATGTCCCACAAAGTTTGCCCTCATAGTCACACTAATTAAAAAAAAAATTAATGTATGTTGTACCAGATAGTTTTTAGAATGTGGTCGAAGTGGCTCAGAAACATCAAAATCCAATTTAAAGTTTTAATGGATTCCCAAAATTTGAACGTACTTTATAATATGGACTGGTAAGTGTTTCCAATAGAATTATATCTGGATGTTCAAAAGAAGAAGGGTATATAGTTTTTCAACATAGAATTAAAATTTAAATTAAAAAATTATAAAGAAAACAGCTAGGAAAAAAAATAAAATAGAAAGGCCAAATAATTGAGTCTTTTTTGACTTTTAAAAGTATGCAAATACATTCATATGAGACAGCAAGAGAAAAACTAACATAAGATTACCATTTACAATTTTTTTGCATGTAATAACATTAAAAAGTTGACAAAAAACTATGTAGTATGATGCTGAATTTTAAGAATAAAAATATTTTGACCACATTTTGCACCTGCAGATGACCCAGTAAAAATAAAAAAAGAACCAAATGCAATTATTTCAATGAAATACCTTTAAATTAATTCAAACCTCATTATATAAGCTCATTTTGCTCATTTGCCTTGGGTCTTCAAATATTTTTGTCATGGAATGTAGCGGGTCCATGAAGAACAATGAGCTAAACCATCTCTCTGTGGGGGTAGAGGAATCTCTCCTCTATTCAGATATATTCAATTAAAATGAATGCTACTTCTATGCTTGATTTCTCAGCAATTAGGCAATATAAAATAATGTTACCTATTGAGGTGATTGTTCCAGATTTATTTTTCCCAGTACAGTATTTCTCTTTTGATTCATTATCCACCTTATTATGTCTTGCAGATTTGAGTTGGATAACTAGTGAAAGAAGAAATAGATTTTATTAATTAAATGCAAAGCACAAAGGCATTGGGTTCTAGTGACTCTGTGAAGTTCATTAATGTGGAAATTCCGTAGTAAGATAAATGATTAAAAATTTAACAGGAAAAACATTATTTTTTCCAAGATTTGGACTTTCCTTTGCACTCTTATTAATCTCATTAATGTTAACTTTAGGAGAATTGGAAAAACATGACCTGGGACCAGAGGGATACCCACTTGATTTTTTTTCCTGGAGCTTTTGTATTTATTTTAATAAATACAAAATAACCAGCTCTAGATATAAGCCTCATTTGGATAGTTTGTGTTTCGCAAGTTCCTGTTAATTATATCAAGTGTCACCTGATTCCTGGAAAGGGTTTCATGTGTTTTGGTTTTGGTTCCTGATTCTGTTCTTTTTGAGATTCTGCATGTAAATGCTGCATATAGGAGGGTAGTATGAGCCCAGAGTACTTTTCTATATTGAAGCACATATCTGTCTTTCTGATGGCCATTTAACTGAAATTATCTTTGGTAGTTTATAATCTCACAATAGTGTGTTAGGCAATTAAATCTTTACAATCTAGTTTAGTAACAAATTTATTTTAGTAACAGACAAATGTTTTACTAAAACTACTATTTTAGTAACAAACAAATCCATTACTTATGACCACAGTATATGAGTATAATTTTTAAATGCTTGATTGAATTGATTGATTTTAGACAAATTTACCACCTATGGATACAAGATGGATGATGCCCAAGAGTAGTCAGTATGAATAAGCTTACAGAGAAATATGCTTCATAATTTAATTTGTTTTCATCTGAATATGGTTTTGGAGAAGCTCGTGTGTACCCACTATCAAACTGCACTGGGAAACTCATTGTGTGATCTTGATTGTAAAATATAAATCTAATTTGACATCTCTTTTCTTTATCAATGAAATGAATCCGTAATATATATAATATCACATGCTGATGTTCTATGGAAAAATCTCTAAATGTAATTGTGTATCAAATTTCACACTTTTTATGAAGTTGTGTTGTATTGTTCAGAAACCACCTGAACAGTGAACACAATTACAACACGTCATGAGAGAATAATACTTAGAGATAATGAATAGTATTGATAACTACTTACCAAAAATGCTCAGCACAATTGTTATCACAAGGAGGATGATAATCATTGCACACTCAACTTTCAGGAAAATTCCATGGTGGTGAGAATCTATAAAATTGGATAAATTTCACTAGTAATCCCAGTAGATAATTTCTTAGGTAGTGAGAGGTAGCAGGGGGGCTGAATAAACTTTCTCAGTTATCATGCTCCTGATTACTTTCCACTGAAATATGTAGATCCAGCTTCCTTTCACGCACGCGTACGCGTGCGCACACACACACACACAGAATGTATTTGGTTCTCTGGTTGGTGAAAAGGGGAACATATAAAACTGTGAATGGATATGAATTTTTCCTTGTGGGCTCATGATACATACTCCCTAAGTTTATATATAAAACTGTGGAACCCTCAAGATTCTCTAATTAGCTTATCGACACCACCAACTTATTTGGATTGATCCATTCTTTTATGGCCCTTCCCTTATATAATGCAACTATTTTCTGTGATACATGATTGTAATTTCATAAAATCATACAATTTAAAGTAAAAATAATTTTAGGAATTATGGTGTCCAACATCCACAGGTTAAAATGGGTATATTCAAGTCCACAATCACACAGTGACTTGATAGCAGAGCTGAGATCAGACCTCAGGTCTCTTAACTGCAAATCCGTGCTGTGTTCACTATCCACGCTATCTCTTGCTTTTGGAGTACTCAAAAGATAAATAAATCATAAGAAGAACTGCATTTTTAGCTTTGGGCTCACAGTTAAAAACAAGTCTTTAATCCAAAATAATTACAGTATACCAATTCCACTAGATACGTGATGTATACACACATCAAACAATATACTGACAAAGTACTAAAATAACCGATGTTGAGACAACCAATTACAAAATCAAGTGTCAAGACTGATTAACCCAAATGTTTATTTAGTGGAATACTATTATAGAGTGTTTTATTGTATGTTCAAATTATTATTGCTGGTAAGTAAAATATCTTTAGACAGAATTTATTAATTATCAAAACATTAAAAGAAGTCCATAAATTTTCTTTTATCAGGCAAAACAATGCAAATTGTGCCAGTCAAGGCAATCACAAGAAAGTGATGATATCCTTACACATGTCTCTAATATGAAGAATTGTGATGACAGACCTAAAAACTTACAGAATAAAACTTTAGATTTCATGAAAGGACTGATATAAGGGATACTAGGTCATTCTTTTAGGCCTCTGAAGTAAGATTTAAGAAAAGCATGAATTTCTGAATCTTTGCCTGGGATATTGTCAGTGGAATCACACGTTTTCACTGATACTCTGCTCAATTTCATAGTGACAGCCTGCTTTGTTTTATATCTTGGAGAACCAATGAACCTATAATATTTATTGAGTGTCTAATAAGATCCATTTATTTATTCATCCACTTATCAAGCATCTACTGATTGCCTGCTGTGTACTTAGTACTGTGTGAGGTGCTGGAAATACGAAGATTAAGAGATTAGGGGGAGGGTTTCAATGCATACAAGGCTCTGAAATAGTAAGGGATATGGTAATTTTCAGGAGCAAAGAGCAAACCAACAACTAGAGCAAAATAAGTGAAGCGTAGGAAATTAGAAGAGAAAAGCCAAGGACAATTGTGTAGGTCTCTATAGGACACAACACACCAATGTATCAAATAGTTCTTTCCCTCTACAATGATATGACACATGAGAACAGAAGTTGCATTTATTCAGCAATAGAGATATGCAGTGAGAGAGTAATAAGATTTTTGACTTCTGGTCATAAGCATGATTATAGGTAGATAATTTAATTTTTATATATTTATATGTCTTCATTTTTAACTTCAGAAGATTGGACTAGATAGTATTAAAGATGTTGTTCCCAAATCTCTAAACCAGGAAAGGAATAATGTTCTTTCCATAAAGAGAAAGATAACAAACCTTGGAATGCAGAATCAAAAATATAGATTTTGTTGCTTGAACTGAGTTAAAATAACCTTTAGAAAATTGGATCAGGGGCCGGCCCCGTGGCTTAGCGGTTAAGTGCCAGCGCACGGCTGCTGGCGGCCTGGGTTTTGTCCTGGGCGCGCACCGACGCACCGCTTCTCCGGCCATGCTGAGGCCGTGTCCCACATACAGCAACTAGAAGGATGTGCAGCTATGACATACAACTATCTACTGGGGCTTTGGGGGAATAAATAAATTAAAAAAAAAAAAATTATAAAAAAAAAAATAAAGAAAATTGGATCAATTGTGTGAGATTTTTTGGGAATGGAGGAATAAGAATGAAGTTCTCGTGCATGTTATTTTTCAAAATCAGTTCCATAATGTCATATAAAACGAAAGTTCCCAGTCTAGGGAGAAAAGAAAACAAATATGCCTCTACTGGACAAGTTAGAGAAGTAATGTTTAAAACAAACAGGAAATAATATGCTCTTGGAACCAGAGAAAACCACACATCAGATTTACTTGATAAATGCAAACTTAAAAATATAAAATAAGAAATGTATTCTTTGGAAATAGAGAAAAGCAATACATCAGATTCTTTCCACAAGGGCAAGTGCAATGAGGAGACTAGATTATTTAAGCATTTTATATAAACTTTATAATATAAAAAAATTTTACTCTAGAGGAGAGAATGGAAATGCAACACGGAAGTTTCCCTAATGCTTCAGAGAATAGAAAATACGCTGGATTTGAAAATTTATTATTTCTGAAGAGGTTTGTGATTAAGATACAATGTATCTTTAGCTATATGTCTATTTCTTCAATTCCAAAAATATTCCACTACTCAGACAGTCATTAATCATAAACTTCATGAAATAAAATACTAACATTTCATGTCTCCTTAGTTTAGCTTAACATTTTTGTCCTATCAATATATGCAAATTCCAAAGGCATAAATAACAGTGTGAATAATTGCCTGAGAAATTTTCCTTAGTGTAAATAGATTTATCATATAACATTAAAAGGACAGATTTGATTGTGGGTGAGTAAAGCTGTAGAGCAAAAAGGGGTCATGAGTATAGATGTCACTGTGTGAGTATAAACATTCACCCCAAGAAATACAAAGGACAGAGAGGCTATGAAAACCAAAAGCAAAGTTCTATGTATTAAGACTAAAGTTACAATTAACTTTATGAACATGTTGTTTTATTAAAACATTCACTCTTATTCTTGCATTCACTAAATTCTGCTTTGAATCCAATCTCCTATTTCCCATACAAACTTAGAGGACAGAAATAAAAGAGATTAAAAGTCAAATCTTAATTTTAAAAGTAGTCCTAAATCCAACTTACCAGATCTCTGCAGTGGAGATTTAACAGTTTTGATGTCAGCATAGACTATATCTCCAGCCATTGCATGTGTTAAAAAGAGAGAGAAGACCGCAAATGATGTTCTGCTAAAGGGAGTCCTATATTTCTGCAAACAAACTTCTGGTAACTTGAGTAAATTGAGATGGACAATTTCCTTCCACTCACCCAAGTTTGGTGGGTTTCCTCTACAAATAAAAGACAAAAGCAATGTGTTCAGTCTTATCAATTGGGTAATAGATTTTTGAACATGCATGATATGGAAGAAAACTGCTATCCTTACAGTAGTGTCTTGTCCTTCAGTTAGTTTTCTGCCTATGTTTGGAATAATTTTAACTTTTAGTACCACAGAATATCTCTCACCACTTTCTTCTGTAAACCACTTCCTCTTTTAGTTTAGACATATATTCTCTGGCAGACACTCTGTGACCATCCAGCATTTTCTCCAAAGTGGAATAGTAATTTGGGAGGGGGGACAAGGAAAAAGAAGGATTTTATTATGGATGTAATAGAAAGAATTGATAGAATCCTCATCTTGAAATGCATTGTATTTATTTAGATAATACTTAAAAATTTTCCTTAAAGCCATTTCTTCTCTCGTACACTTTATAATACTAACATCAAACCAAGGTGAAGCATGGATCATGCAGAGGACTTCCAGAATGAAAAATTATATTTAAGAGGCAGAAATAACACTCACCTCAAAATAATTCAATGTTAGGTCATAAAAGAAAATAAATCTAATTTTTAAATGAAGTTCATAGAAATTTCCCCTTGAATCTTGAATGCAATATACTTAGTATAGATTTTTATCTACTGTTTATTCTAAAACTCCACTAAAATTATATTAAAGGAATAAAAATTGAAAGCCTAAAACAAGAAGAAAAATGGAGTGAGTTCCAACAGATGATGAAAAAATTCAACAAATTCCTGAAATATGGAGAGTAGATGGATATGTCATAACCTATGAAACCAAGCAGAGAAAAGTGAAGCCTAGAATATGTGAAGGGAGATCACTGAGGAGGGAGCCCAGCTCTTTGTGAAACCCTCATAAGATTCAGAGCTCAGAAATTTTAGATATGAAAAATTTCAGGAGACGTTAGTTTATGATCAGTAGATTAACTGGTATTCTGAACATGAAAAAGTTGATTTCTTCAATATCTACCCAAATGCATTGTATAGAATTATCTAAACTGCAGTTATCCTTCCCTCACAAAATTGAAGTAATTTAACCCACATTGATCAAATAACTAAAAAATAGATCTTGACTTTCTGGCATTTAGGAGTACCTCAGTGTAATGGCGAACCCCACAAGGCTTCTGACCCTGGACGGGCCTTGCACACTGACTTCTGTCTCTCAAGAGTGCCATGAATTCCCTCTTTTCCTGTTTTAACACTTTATATATTGATCTGCAGATTGCCGCATAACCTGTACATTTTCAGAGTGAAGATTTGAACTCCTGTCAAACTGTGTCCGAGCCCATGCCATAATGCAAAAATGTTTTCTAGATTTTGAGAGTAAGAATCGCATTTTATTTTTCTTGTTATTTCCATCATTCAATCTATGCCTGAAACATAATAGACATTTACTGTGTTGGATCGGTTAATGCTACCCTGAATTTTATTACTGGGCTCTAACATTTTTCCAGAATGAGAGCAATCATTTTTTACTAAAAAGTAGACTTCTATTCCTATGAAAAATATGATTGATGATCTAGCCATATAAAAGTAAAAAGAAAAAAATACTAGCATATGGAGAATCTATTATGTTATGTAATAAATCCTTGATTTATTTACAAATTAAATATTAATGATCCCTGCTCTGTCTCTCTGTCCCCAGGTAACCAAAGGTATGCATTGTTTAGTAATCTGTAGGTTTGTTGAGGTTTGACTTTTAATTGAGTGTCATGATACTTGTAGGTAGGGCTCACTTAGCCAAAAAGATCATTTTATATAAAATCAACTTGTAGATGTATTAAATAATGGAATATTAGAAATAGGGGTGCCTTAAAAAGCATGTTATTAAATAATCCATTATATGTCCAGAAACAAAATAAAGCTGTTCAGTTAAGAAGTCTAGACTCATCAAATGTTCATCAGTACAGATGTGAAAGAATAACAAATATTTAGCTGGGCTGCTGTATTTTATGTTTCATATGCTTATGATATTCTCAAATTTGGTGACACAACTTTCCTGGGCTATAACTTCTTTGAGTGTTGAGTTTAATTAAGGATTAGTGATTTAAATGTATGGTGTTTAGGTATCATTACCGATAAATACTACTTCTAATTAATGCAGTACTTATACATTTCAAATATGCTTTATCATTGCCCTAACTTTAATAATAATTTTATTAATCACTTCTCTGTGCATGGATTCCAAACTAAATCCTCAATCCTGCTCTATTTCCTGGAGTATAAGTCCTTATTTCCAATGCTTTCAATACCTCAAACTCAAAATAATCAAAAGTGATCCAACCGTTGCCAGAAAAAAACCGGGACCCTGTCCCATAGCTGAATCAATGAGCGCAATGACAAGGGATTGAGGAAAAGGAAGAGCTTGAATTTTGCTAGCAAAATGAGGCTGCAGTGGGCTAGTGCTACAAAAAACACAGTGTTCGCAAGGCATTAGGAGTTGGGGTGTTTAAAGGAAAAACTATGGAAAAGAATGTGCTATCTACATGGCTGTAACCATATGGTGGCGCGAATATTGTGAGGTTCCCAGACATTCTGGCACCGGGCCAGCTGTTATCTCTACCTACAGCGGGAGGTTCAGGGCTCCATTGATCAATCTTCCTGTGCCACCTGACATTGGGCCCCGGGGAGAGCCAACAATTAATGGTTACAAAGTTTATAAGGTTTTAGATAGGGGAGGGGAAGCTGTGGCTTTGCAGTTCCGCATCCTCCCACCAGCCTGTGTTTGGTGGAGATAAGGGAAGCTGCAGGTGTCCTCGGTTGTCTGCCTCTGTGATGAATGGTGGATTTCGGCACCAGGAAGCCAAGGAATTGGGGAAGCTTCAGCTTCTTGATATTCTCTGGATATCAGTTTCCCCGTTACAAGACTTCAAGGGACCCATAACTAACCAAACTTCAGAGTGAGCCCCAGTGCAAGGCCACCTGGGCTTTAACAATTTGTTACTTCCATTTACCTTGTGGAATTGAGGGATACAAAGGTTAAAACAACCGATATCTACATGTGAATGTAACTTAGAGGATCTGGGAAAGAGAATGAGTGCTTTTTGGTTTTTAACCCCATATATGCTGGGTTCAATGTAGGGGAACTGATATCAGGGCCGGCATCAAGGAAGAAGTTACAAGACTTTTAGTTTTTTCTCTGTTACACAACTTTACCACTCTTTCCACTGTTTCACTTCTTTCTTTTGGTGGCCCCCTACTTTTGCAGAAACTCAGGCTTAGTATCTCTCCTTTGTATCCTTCCTTCTGTCACTTTCCAAAGTGTATGTGTGAGTGATGGAGGGTGGCATATAACAATTCATTCGAGTTGAAGGAGTCTTTTTCAACTTAGATGAGCATTTGACAGAGAACATGATCAGAGAAAGATAATGCCACATGGGGTCAGGAAGGAAACCATAGAGAATGATTGAAAGTTTACCAATCAGATAAGTAACTCCTACTATGATAGTAAGAGTGAGAGGTAGAAAAATGTACATTTTCTCTGAAAACTTCTGAGGGGAAAGAAATTTTAATTTTGCTGGTTGTCTGGAACATGGGGACAGAGAAAGAATTATTTGTCCTATGATATATTTGTATCCATGCGTGTGTGCATATAGATTTCTAAGTCCAACAACATATATATATTTTTAAAAAGTGTATGCTTGTATGTTTACATGAAAAAGTTTAATTTTATATGGAAATGACATGTCTTTTGCCTTTTTCAGTAATCCATAACACTGCTAAATATTCTAGGCTGGTGGTTCTCAACCCTGACTGCACATTGAAATCTGTTGGAGAGTTTTAAAAAAATACTGATTTTGGAACTTCACATGAGAATTTTTGATTTTCATTTGTCTGGATTGTGGTTTGTGCATCAGAATTTTTTTTTTTTTTGGTACATCAGAATTTTTTAAATCTTCCCTTATATGATTCTATACATAGCCAAAGTTGAGAACTTTCAAGCTACCACATGTGAGTTTAGAGTGAAGTACAGATTTGGAAATAAGGAGAAGAGTAAATCAGGCAGCTATAACAGAAGGAGAAATAGCAGCAGCACTGATGAATAAGAGACCAGGGTTCCTACACATCAAAGGAACAGTGATAACAAGATCTAATATCTTCCCCAAACCAAGGAATCTCCTTTGTATTAGAGGCCAAACCTGAGGAAAAAATATGACTCTCATAAGTTGGTTTGATATCTTTCTGTAAGTCTGAGACTTAATGTAAACTAGATGAAATGCCTCCATGGATTGGTTTTGATCCATGGATTCCCATTTGTCTTTATGCCCTACAGAATGTGTCTCAGAAATTCATTCTACAGAAATAAAACAATTGAGGGAGTGTGTGTGGAAATAACACTTTTCCTTTGAAGGGGAGCAGATTTTGCCACCCTAAAATATGTCTCTTTGGCATAAAAATTATTTTGGGTAAAGCCAATCAATATCCAAGGGATTCAGGAAGAGTTCTTTGCCTCCCACTCAACTGCCTAAATTTACGTTTGAAAGGGCACCTGTGCCAGGAAGAGAGCTGTTACCAGATACACGTTTTTACCTAAGAAACTTATCTACATAACAGGACAATCTTTGTTTTCCAAACATCTCCTCTATCTTCCTGTGAAAGAGCTTCTTTCTCTTTATATCCCCAGACCCCTATATCTTTCCTTAGCTTAGGATGTTATATCAGCCTCAATACCTGCCTGCTGTTTGGGTCTTGTATTTTTATGGGGCTCCCATAGGTACAAAACTTGTTTTTATGTGTGTGTGTGTTATTCTGTCTCATATCAATTTATTTATTAGCCCAGCCAAAGAACCTAGAGAGGAAGAAGGGAAATTTTCTCTTCCCCTTCACCTTATGCCAGAGGAAAAGTAAGACAGATGTTTGAGGATCTTCATTGTTTATTACTGTACATGAATTAATTTGAGAAGTATGATGTTGCATGTC